TTGGTTTTAATTCTGTTTTCTTACCTTGGAAAGTAAGAAAGTGGCACCTATACAGACTCATCTTTGATGAGATTAAGATAATGCCTGTCTTGATTCTGAGAATTTTCTGGGTAGAGATGGTTGAATCTATCAAGGAAAATTTAGTATTTGTTTGTGGGTTTTTCCTGTCATAAAATAATTAAAGACAGTGGAGTTTTCCCCCATTTCTTGTCCCATCTGAATAGTTAGTTGTATGTAGTTGTTGTTGCAGATGACAAAGTTCAGTAGTACTTGCTTCTGTTTCTCTTTATGATAGGAAATTTTTGAAACACCAGCTGAGAGGAAAGAACTGTGAACTCCTATTGGTGGTGCCAGAGGAGGTGGAAGCACACCAGACCTGGAGAGCTGATGTGTGACCTGGGCTGACTCTGTCCTCCCACTACAGTTCTTCCCCTTTACCGAACTCCTGATGTCCTAAAACCTGGATAATGGGTGCCCTGACTCTTCTCATCTGGAATTTCCTTTGTTAGGCTCTTCTCTTCCTTCCTTCCTTGGTGCAATAGGGCAATGGCGCTGGACTTTGGGGGTAATGGGTGGAGAAGAACTGAGGGCAGAGCAGAGGAAACTGGAAGCCAGTTACTTTAATTGCAAGGTGGGTGAGCTGCAGTGCCCTTTGGCCAGCTGGAAGGCATCATGCTCTGGAAAAACTGGGCTGGGGGAGAGTGCCTGGAAACCCCAGGCCTCCATTTCCCCACGTGGTTCAAGGCTGCATTTGGTGGGACACTGCTCCCTCCAGGGCTTGTCAGGAAGGAGCAGGGGCTGTGCATGCTGCCACCTCTTTACAGTTCTCTCCCTCCAAAACAAGTTGTCATGAAGATATTTGCAATTCCTAAGGGTCTCTCAGGACACTCAAAACACTAGGAATGGTACGGTGCTCAGCACAACCCTCTGCTTCTTAGGACTGGTTTGTGCCAGGAATTAGGAAACAATAATAAAACCAGTGTCATCTTCCAATAAATTCTTTGGGTAGCTAGAGGATTCTTCCCCAGGGTCTCCAAGGATTTATGTACGTGGTGAGCAGTTATTTGGCAGTGTGTGTCTGGCTAAGGTGACATGGAAACAGCAAGCACAGGCTAACTGAGGAGTATCAAGTTGCTGGAGAGAGGCCACAGTCTGCTTGGGTTTCTTCATGCTATGGTGGGTTTTTTTTTTTACTATTTTTTAAAAGTTATTTAGGTTTTGTGCATGGTCATCCAGTAGTTTAGGGGCTCCTTGGAGAGAGGAATCAAGCTGAAAAGGTTTTCAAATAAATTAATTCCCTTTTATTTTCCTCTCTTCAGAAGTCTAGCCCACAGTCACAGATGTCACGTGAAATGAGAGGTCAAGTTATAAAATAAAAATGGGCTAAGGAAGGAAGCCTTTATAGCAGTCAGTTTTGCCCTTTTATTGCTACCATCCACTGGTGTGGGAGATGCAGAGGGTCCACCAGAACTTTCAGGCATTGGAGACACCCTGGCTTGGTAGTCGAATCCAACCTCTCCTTTAGCACTGGCCAACAAACGTTCCGTTAATGGTTGAATTGCTTTTTCCTGCCTTCCATGGGGAAGTGAGACTAGACATGGGAGACGCTAAGGAATCTCCACCGGCTGTTTCCCAGTCACCCAGGAGAGCTGTAGCTCAGCCATACCTTCCTTGGCAGGAGGAAATGCTGAATTTGGAACTGACTTCGTTGTGTTTAGCACTTCCTGGCTGAGCTGCTGTTGCTTCCACCTTTACATGTCTTGGTTGAACAGCAACCTCTGGGGACCTGATGGAGCTCGAAGGATCCTGTTCCACCATGCAAGAAACTGTCATTACTGATGTTTGAGCTGGTGAAAGGAGGGATTGTAATGACCTTTTCTCAGTTATTTTTCTCTTCAGAGCTCTGCAAACGCATGAGCAGGTGCTCGAACCTGAGAGACCACCAAAAGTGGCACCATCCCAACAGAGAACAGAGGCCACATGACGACAGGACGATGGTGTTTGCTGACCCCCGGCCATCTGGCAAGCACTTTTGCAGTCCTTTGAGCACAGCCTCCCACAGTCAAGAGCAAACTGCTCTTTTAAAAAGTCCTATTTCGTAACACATTCCAATGACCAATACCAGCTGGCAGAGTTTTTAAACACTTTCCAGGCAGGATGTTCAGCCTGCAGGCATTCTGCTCTTGACTTGAAGCCATTTCTTCAAGAGGGGAAAATATAAATCTCAACAGCAACATTTTCTATGCTGATTGAAGTTGCACTTTGGAGAAAAACCCTGTTTGCATGGAAACTGCAAGCCAATGGATCAGTGCACAATATGCAAAGATGTTTTAAAATACTTTGGGGCTGCTTTCTTCTCCTTGTGTGTCAGCTGCTTTCCCGGGGGAGAAACAGTGTGATCCAGCTGCTCAGGTAAAGGGAAAGTGTATGATCACATCCCCATGGGAGGTGAGGCTGCAGTGCCCGAGGGTGGGTGAGCTGGTCCAGTCCCACCGCTCGGGAGCGGGGAAGCCCCTCTTTGTTTTCTTGCTTGTTTGGTTTTGTTAGAGCCTTGTCTTGGGTTTGTTTACAGAGATGTATTTTGTTTAACCAAATATTAAAAATGGAAAAAAAAAGTTTCCATATAAATGCCCTATCACTTCTGTATGTTCAATTGAATTGTTCTGTAACAAAGTATGTAAAGGATAAATAAATTTTTTTCTTTGGTTATAAAACCACCATGTTTCTGCGAGTTAAAAACCTTGAATGGTGGACACTGGTGCTGAGGTAGGATCACCTCCTGGAGAATTCCCTTAAGCCATGCAAGGCTTCCCCACCCCTCTGAAGGTGACAAAACCACGTCGGTCCCTTCCACACTGCCAGGCTGTGCATGAAATGGAGAGATCCCTACCCAGAAATCCCCCAGCAGCTCTGAAAGAACTGAGCCTCCATCAAGGACATCTATTAAAACCACACTGCTCAGGTTGGATTTATTTAATATTCCATACAAAAAAATACGCAGCTGATGTCTGTTCTACTTTATGAGGCAGAGAATCTGCGTGGATGTGATCGTCTCAAACCTGGCCTGCTGCTCCCTCGGTTCTCACACACACACAGCTGCAGTGAAACTGTTTCTGCAGACACATCTTCCCAAAGAGTATTTTCCATGGGGTACTGACTGCACCCCTCCTTCCTCTGCTGGGAAAGTCACTCTTCTGCCACCACTGTCCTTCAGCTCCAAATCAGGCACGAAAGCATTTGTTGTGTCTGACTGCTGCTTTTCAAAGCCTGACCTGTGCCCCAAGGTGTTCTGTGGGAGCAAGAAGCTGGCAGAGGAGCTCCCCCGGTCCAAGTCTGTAACTGGTTATGGCATAGTGATTGAATAAAAGGAAATACTCATGATTTCTAAAGGAGAGGGGGATGCAGACAGGAGCCATCATCAGGTCCAGAGGGGGGCTTCCCTCCCTTGTTATGAACAGGTCAATGTCCCAAAGGAGAACCAAAAATAAAAACAAAAAATGCCCTGGCCCAACAAATCAACAGTTCAATATATCGTAATCGCAAGGTCTTCCCACTTGATATGAATCCAACTCAGCTTCCGCAAATTACATTTTTCCAGATAGTGGAGGCAGGGCCCCTGGCATTCCCCCTGAGAGCCCTGTGTTGGGTCCAAGGAGGATCTGGAAAGAAAACAATTAGTTAAGGAGTATCAAGGACACAAGACACCTTGCCATGCTGTCCCTCCTCCCAAAGGTATTGGTGGTCCTTTGCAGCACCAGTCCCACTCCTGCTACAGCAGCTAAGGTCAGTGCCCAACCACAGCCCCCATTAGCCCCTCACAGCATATTTCCACTGGTGAAAGCCAGGTTGTGCTTGCCAGGGATTGCCTCCAGCCTGACACTATTTTTGCTGGGAATCAGCAGCATTGTACGATTAGAACATCCAGCCAGAGAATCTGGTGGGGTGAGTGAGGCCACAGTGTACAACAGTCTGCACCTCTCTCCCCAGGCTCCCCTAGCAGGTGCTCACAGCAGGAGGTGCAGGCACTCCCAGCCAACTCTGCAGGGCCGGGACAAAGGGTTGGGCCTTCCTGCCTCACCTGTCGCTGCTGCAGCTGCTGCTGTTGCTCCATCTGCAGTTTTTCGGTTTCAAAGACGACAGGAAGAACCAGAATCATGAAAGAGGTGGTCCCAATCCACAGAGCTGCCCTAGAGAATCTACCAAGGAGAAAGAAACCTAGAAATCAGTTCTCATTGGCACAATCCCGCGTTTCCCTTCAGTGCCTCAACCACAAACCTGCCTCCAAATCCAACCCCGGACTCCGGGGTGTCCCTTTATCCCCGCCCTTAGAAGCCGCCCTTAAACAAAAGCCGCGGTTCTTCCGTTCCCCGCAGGCTCCGCACTGCGCTACCAGCGGCCAAAGCCTCCGCGAAAACCGGCGGAGCCGCCCCGCGCCCCCGCTCTGCCCGCCGGGCCCGCTCCGAGGGGCTCCGGCCCGGCCCGCCGCCCCCTCACCTGTACATCTTCTGCGCTACCGTCAGCGACAGGTCGAACGTAGCCCCGGCCGCCGACCGGACGCTCTCGGGGAACATCTCCGTGAGTCCCCACAGCCGCTCCGCCAGCGTCTCGTCCAGCTGCGGGCGGCACCACCATGTCAGGCCCCGCCGCACGGCCCTGCGCGCCCCGCGGGGTCACCGCGCCCGCCCGGCCTTCCCCGCCGCCTGCCCTGATACCTCCTCGTCGTCCTCTTCCTCCTCCTCGAGCTCGTCCTCCAGCTCCTCGGCCTTGCCCGCGCCGCCCTTGGGCAGCAGCTCCTCCGGGGACAGGGACGCCGCGGCCGCCATCGCCACCACACAGGACGGAAGGAGCGGCGGCCAGAGCGCCGCCGGAAGCGCGGCGGCCCTCCCGCCACCCAGCCCGGGCGAGACAGCGCCCCCTGGCGGCCCGGAGGAGCACCGGCCGCACCCCATCCCGGCCCCGGCAGCACAGCACGACGCGTCACAAACACCCTCAGAACCGCGTTTTAATTGCAAGGTTTTATGTAAAATATGAAAAACTCTGGAGAACGAGCAACTCCAGCATCCTGCTCGCCCAAGGCAGACGGTGAGGTTTGTACAATCACCCGCGGGCTCCCCAGGGGGAGCAGGCAGAGGTCTCCCCGCTTCTGTACGTGGGGAAGGCGAGGAGGAGCCCTCATGGAGATGGATCTTCTCCACCGCCTCTTGTCCGGCTGCCTTAGAGAAGAGGGTACCTGTGCTGGGCTGCGGTGAGGAAATGTAGCAAGGTAAAGTGCTCTGAGGAAAATCGTGTTAATTAACAGCGCTGCGGTGCCAAATCAGCCATTAGCAGTACCCACGGCACCACACAACGCTGGAGGCATCTCGGCACTCGTGGTCCCGTGAAACCAAGTACCTCCACACAGTACCAACATGGCTGGGAGGCCTAAGCCAGCCCCAGCATCCCGTGCGCCAAGACCTAGAACCAGCCTGGCCACCTCTTGTTCACTTCTTCCTCCGGCTGTGCTGCTTCAGCTCCTCCAGCTCCTTCTCCATGAGGTGGGACTCAGCAGTGGTCTCAGAGAGCTGGAATGCACAGCAAACAACAGGAGTTAAAAGCTTGTGAGTCTTTTCCAACTTCACAGCACACAGATTTACAGCCACAGGCCAGGTCCTGCAGGAAGGAATTTGTTTCTGTTGAGCAAGGGAGAAGCTGCTTCACTGAGATCACCTGGAAAACCCAGAGAGCAGCTAGCACTTCTGCTAAGTGTTCCAGCCACAAAAGCCATTTTCCAGCTTTAAAACATGTGAAGAGTAAGGAAAGAAAATATTTGTTTAGAGTGACATAAAAGCTAAATCCCTTATTAACTGAGAATAGATGTGTGTTTCTATTTCACTGAATGTCTCTCCAGATTTTAAGCATGAGAGCTGAGATCTCTGGGTAAGGTTGAATTTTGGTTTATTTACTGGAAATTCTGTCATCCAGAGTTTTACACATAGGATAGATGTCACATCCCTCATGACAGCAGATGGAAGCTTTAATCTTCTGTGACCAGAAATAGTGGCTGTAACTCAGTTTCATATTAGGGCAGAGGACAGAATGGCAAGAAGAATGCTATATTCTGTGCGGAAAGGGAAACAGGAGACATGGCATTGCCTGGGCTTCTCTCTCCTCAGTCACAGTGGTTGCAATAAGCTCTGATGTGGGGGGAACCTTCCCCTTTTTCCACAGAGGGGATCAGGCTTTACTCCCACAGTCACTTTGCCATTACACCTGGGTTGCACAGCAGAGTAAAGCAGAAAGTGGGGTGCAGTGAGAGCAGCCTTCTTCAGGGGACCCAGCACCCTTTGCTCAGGCATTCCCACTGCTATGGGCAGGCAGGAGTTGGGCAAAGGCTCACCATGTCCAGCAGAATGTCCACTTTCAGCCGAAGTAGGTTGTTTTCTTCCTCCAGCTGCTGGTTTCGTTTGCGCAAGCGCTGCAGCTCCCTGCGATCCCCCCCGACAAAGGTTCCTGATTCTTGGAGGAAAGAAGGAGGTCAAAATACAGATTGTCAGCCAACCATGGTTACTTCAGACCAGAGCAAGCTGAGTTGTACTCTACCTGAAACCCAGTGGCCATTTTCGAACTTCAGGCTCTGGCCAGCAAGGTTCATTGTGGGGGTGCCATATTCCAGGCCCAGCTCAACCTCACGGGTGGATCTATCCAGCTGCAGGGATAAGATCACACTCAGAGTTTCACTGAATTCCAGAGCCACCCTCTGCTTTCTAATTTCTTAGTGGCATTCCAGTGGAAGATGCTGGTCCAAATGGCCCTGGAACCCTAATTGGATGATATACTGCTGCAGTAAAGGACTGGCTCCTCTCACTGCCATCCCTGCACTTTCTCCCACCCCCACACTCATCTCCCTGCACTTGGAGACCACTGGTGAGAAGTTTTCAGTGACATAGCTCTGGACTGCAGGTGGGGTGATGATTCTTCCCTGGGCTATTCCATTTCTAGCTTCATGTATAGTCACCAGTGATCAGGAAAGGTGCTGCACTGCAGGAAGAAAGCAGCACAGTTGGAATAATAGAATATACTGAGTTGGAAAGAACCCACAAGGATCATTGAGTCCAGCTCCTGGCCCTGCACAGGACCATTCCCAAGAGCTGCACCATGTCTGGGAGTATTGTCCAAACACGTCCTGAACCGTCCAGCTTGGGGCTGTGACCACTGTCCTGGGAAGTCTGTTGAAGAGCCCAATCACCCTCTGGGTGAAGAACTTGTTCCTGCCCCAGAAGCAGCTGGGAGCTCTTGTAAGGATTATGGCACTCACAGCAGGAGCCACCCACCCCTGCCACCAAGGCAGCAAACCCCAGGTGCTGGGACTCACCAGGTGCAGGTTGGACAGCGAGGCCCATTTCCTGGGTGGGGTCCTCTTCGGGCTGAAGGAGTTCCCAAAGAGAGGCATCGCACGCTGCTCCTCAGGCTTACGGAAGGCTCCTGAAGGAGAAACAACAGGTCCGAGGCTGTGGGCCCAGAGCAGCGATGTGACAAGGTGGCCGTTCTCCCCCAGGCAGAGCGCCCCAGCTCTCACGCCAAGATGGCGATTTGGGGGGCGAGTCCTGGCCGCCTCCCCGCCACTGCCACCAGGCAGCACCGGCCCTCGGTGCACGGGCACGTCCCTCGCACCTCCACCTCCACGTGACCGAGCCAGGCTGGGGACAGGAGGTGTCACACCCGCCCCGGCCCTCCCCGCCTCCGGCCGGTACCCCCAGCACCGCGCGGCCCGGCACCTCGGGGGTACGGGCTGTATCAGCCCACGGGCACGCCGAGGAGCTGCAAGGGGAGCCCCACGGGGCGCTATTCCCCGCACGGGACGCCACCGGCAAGCTCCTTTGTCCTGTTTTCCCTCCCGGCACCTCACTGGCGAAAGCAGCGGGCTCGGCAAAAGCGGAGCCGATGAAGAATGCCCCTCACCCCCCATCCCCCCCGCGCCGCGGTGGTAGGGCCAGCCCCGCGGTGCGGGGGCGGTTGGGCCGGGCTGTTCCATCGAACTGCGCCTTAATTCCCGGGGGGGGCCGCACCTCTCCGTCGGGACGCGCCCGCTCCCGGCGCTCGCCGTCCGCCGCCGGTGGGATCCGCCGCGTGTCCCGGGAGCGGTTTGCGGCCGCCGCGTTGCCGTGGCGACGGGATCCGCGGCTCCGCTCCGCCTCCCGTGCTGGAGGGAGACGGGGGCGGAGTGCCGGGCAGCGGGCTTGCGGGTCGGGCTCCGCTCAGGGTCGGGCTGCGTCGAATTGGTGCCGTGCTGACCGCGCTTTCCTTTAACAGCTGCCCTAAAATGCTCGAATCGTCTGGAAGAGTTGTTAAAAATGGCTTTGGTGGGGATTTTTCGTTTATTTTTTCAGTTAAATAGCTAAACGCCATTAGGCAGAGAGCCCTTCCTTGCTTGGGAACGTGGGAGACGTGGAGGAGGTCAGGCATCCTGGACTGCACGGGTTCAGGGGTTGATGGGTGAGGAGCTGTAGAGAGAAGAATCGTACGGAATCACTTAGGTTGGAAGAGATCTCTGAGACCTTCAAGTCCTGTCTTTGTCCCGACCATGTGAACGTGGCCGTGACACTAAGTGCCACGTCCAGTCTTGTCTCTAACACCTCCAGGGACGGTGACTCCACAGCAGCAGCTCCTCACACACCTTCCTTTGAAGCAGTCCCAGCATCACGATTTCCTGTGCACATTGCGAAGTCCTCCCTTTCAGCACATGATGGAATAAATTTAGATTCATTGTGTTACTTGCCGGCTTGTATTCCATGGGAGGTAGCAGTGGCAGTTGGTTTGAATATTTTGAATGAATGGTACGGGTATGTAACACATATTGCCAGCACTTTTTATGTTACAGAGGCAAAATGCCACTCCTAAGCTATAAAATAATTCTCCAATATGTTATAATAGTGATCTGAAGTTACTTGCTTCATTGTTAAAAAAGCTTATGTTAAGGACTTCCTGGGGCTTTTCTGAAAATTTTTGGATTAATGAGATACTAAGATGCTGACTTTAGTTAAAAGGGAACAATAAAGAAAAAGAAAAAAGAAAAAAAAGCAGGGGGCTGGCAGACAAAAGGAGAAGAAGAGAATCACCAACATTTTGATTTGGTTTGTAGATGTATTAGTACTCCAGGGAAGAATAAAAAAAAAAAAAAATCTAACAGTCTTTCATTCCCAGAGTGCTTAATTGGCACCCTGCCTTAAGTGAACCAGAAAATTGCTCACTTGGAATAAGAATTGGAAAAATAACACAGTTAAACCCAGTGACTTGAGACAAGAAAAACCTCTGGTGCTGCTGTATCTTTTGGTAGTCCAGTTAACCAACATCTGGTTCTTACAGGACACATGCTATAAAAACAGTTGCCTTTTGACTCAGTGTACCAGAGTGTGTGCACTGGAAAGCAGTGATTTTTGCAATAAGAGAAGAGATTGTAATGGGATGTGCGTGGGGGGGAAAGTCAACACCCTTAATTAAAAGTAGAATAAAAACTCACTGTTCAGAGCAACATCTTTGTGAAATAGTTGTGGCTTCTATCACCATTTAATACCCACACGTGTGTGCGTACATTGGGTAAGAAAGATGAAAGGAAGGTCCAGATAAATGAGGGCAAGGGCTTCGGAAGAAAAGCTGAGAGCATGTAGAATTACAATTTTGAAATGAGAAAATAAAGTCAGCACACCTGGGTGCTTATAAGAGCCAAAGACCATACAGGGTAGTGAGGGACTGAGCTCAGTTTGGTTGGGGTGTTTTTTTCAGTAATGTTCACCTTCCTAGAAGAAACCTGTATGTTTCAGTACAGTTATTACTTGAGTTCTCCTTGGCTGAGCAGGATGAGTATTGTAGAAATACACTGTAATTATTGTAAAACCCAACTGTCTCATGCATCTGGGGTCTCAGAATGATTCTCTTACTGCCTCTTTCTGTGGAGCAGAGACTTGGAAAAAGCCAGGCAGCCCATCCCCACCACCTTGGCATGTGAGATGAATGCTTCCTTCTGTGCTCAGTTGCTGTGCACACAGTGGATAATACCTGTGTGAATGGTCTCATAGTTGGAAGGGTTTGTCAACAAGAGTTCAGAAAGCTTCCCCTGGAGATTAAAAAAAGGAGGCGGAGTGTCTTGATTTCTGCTGTGATTTGCTTCAGAAATCTTTCTTCTTCTTCATGGTTTGACAAAATTTAATTTCTCGCCAGACTCCATTTCCTTGAAAAATGCTGTGGGATTTCCTCACTGCACCAGTCTCCTAAGGTATTTTGGCAGCAGCTTTTCATCATTGTTTCTCCACCTACATCAGGTAGATACCAAGACAAGAATGGACTGTTGCTGTTTCTAGCATTGTCTCTCAGTATATAGCAAATACATACATATATATATATTTATATATGGTTTGACACATGATTTTCAACTATGTTAAAAGCATTATGGTGTAGTAGTATGCATCCTTCTGTTCCTGTCACTCTGTGGGGAAAAGAACACTTAGCACACACTCTTTCTCCCAGGACAGTAACTACAGAGATCACTTAGGAACTGCAAAAGCCCATTCTTCACCCCAATGGTGAAGAACCTTTATGTTACAGTCCTTGTGTAGGGAAGCTGCCTATTTTCCTAGGAAGACATTTTTGAGAATACTGGTGGAAGGCTGAGAGATTGACAGGATGAAGATAGGGCTGTAGCACACGGAAGTGTGGAAATTTTGGAATACACCCAAGCTGTTCTTGGTAGCCTAATTTGGAGCATCTTCTTCAGCTTTTTTGGCTCAAAAAAAGAGAATCTATAGCTTAGATGTTCTCAGAGCTGCTTTTAACTCCATAGTGTTTCTCTTGCTTTTTTCATATACACTACAGGATTATTATTGTTCTCTGTTATATCAATAATTACAGGGAAACCCCATTGACTGGTGAATTCAGTAGACTTACTCTAGGCTCACTCAGACGTCAAAGAGAGTATTTATTTTAGTTATTGTAGTGAAAGTTGCTACATTGCCTGGTTGTTACCTACCTATAGGTAAGGCTGTATAAAACCTAGTGGCTTTATAATGCCACCTATAATGTTATAATGTAACACCTGGTGGGCTAAATGAGACTGAGTTTAAAACCTATAAACTAAAACTTTTTTAGCATTTTGAAATTAATTCCTTGCCCAATTAAATTTTTCAGCAGTAAGGCAATTCTTAATGCCTCAGTGCTGTGCAGTTAATGATGTCCGTTCTTTTAGAATCCTACATATTAAATACTTCACCTATATTTTGCTGACAAAGCCGGCACTTCTTTTTCTCTCTCTGTTTCTTTGTTTCATTACAGCTAACTCAAGAGATAAAAGAACAGCCGTTTCACTGCTTTGTAAAGAAATGTGCTTTCCTCCAGACTGACTGTCACAGATTCCACCACCAGGAGGCCCTCATTCCAGGGCTTATGGCTAGGCAAAGAAAACACAAGGAGAGTGAAAAGAAGTGGAGAAACTCACCCGCACAAGAGTGTTCTGAAATTAATACTTTTCCTATAAATTGAGATTTTCAGAGTACTGTGCAGGCATCTTTAATTATTGCAAGTACCCTAATGTCCAACTATCATGGATACACATGACTTTTGGAGATAATGGAGTGTCTGTCACAGGTGGTACCCTTCATTGAATAGCCGAGTGATAGCCAGAAAAGTTCATGCCTCTGTCTTCTGGATGGATCTTAGTAACCTAAATAAATAATAAAATGCAGTAAAGCACAGGTTATATTTCTCATCCCTCATATGTGCCCTCTGTCACCCAACAAACATGCCTTCACTTACTTTGCCTCTGCCTTCTCCCTTTTAGTTACTTATCCACAGGCTCTTCAGTCTCTTTCACTTTTCACAGCTGGCTTTTATAGTGTCCTAAAAGTTCTAAATATCTGCACTAGCACTCTTTCTGATTGTTCTATTTTGCTAACCAGACCTTTAAGGAAAGGAGGAAGGAGAAATGTTTTTATCCTTATTTTTTAGCAAATCATGTACTTCTTCCCTACTGGCTTTTCAAAGCTGCAGTCATTACTTTGGCTGAAATGTAGACTTTGTTATTCAAAAGAACACTGTGTACATGATCTCTTGACTAAAAAGTATATAAAGTTGTCATTCTTTTTTCCTTAAACCCTATTTATTTTTCTTTTCACTGCTGAGTCAAGCCTTGTATATCTGCTTCTGTGCTTATTTCCCACTGTCATGTTTCAGTGCTGATGAGTCCAAGACACAGCTTTGCAATGCAGTTTCAGAATGGATGATAGGTGAGAACAGTTTTGCTTCTGTCAGGAAAAGCAGCTTCTGCAAGCTGTAAGTTACCCTCAGCTGCAAACTGAGTTACCCTTTGTCTTTCAAACTCAGTTCTTACCCTCCTTCCCTGAATTCACACATACATACAACATGTTTACATTTGTGTACTTTGGCCTCTCTAATATGTACTAATGTGGAAAACACGTATCTTCTGCTCCAAGAAGCAGAAAAAGTGTAAATGGAGCCATGCATGAAATAGGCAAAGTTCCCAGGCCTCTGAGGAGGTTTTCCAATCATTGCTCACTATTCTGGCCACACTGTTCACTTGAAAGAGTTTACACAAATACGCAGGCAGTTGAGCCACTCACATGTTCTGGAGAGAATCCATTGCTTCCTGGCAGAGTTTGCCACAAGGCTGTCCTTGGTGACTGGGAGACCAAAGGTTCAGAGAACATGTGCAGCCCACATAGCAGTGAAAGCTTGAGTTAAGCTTTATTTCACTCTGTTCCTATTACTTGGCTATTCTTTGCTTGCTTCCACATCTGTATTTCATCCTTTTCCTTGTCTCTTACTTTCAAAGTCATCTGTTTCCATGGCTCACTTAAGATGTCCTTTCCAGGAAATGATGAAACTTAAGCCTGTAGTCTGCATGTTCCTGATGAGGAGATTTGGGTAAAAGGAATACCAGGGGAAAGGTCTCAGGCATCTCTCTGTATGGGTTGGTTCTGTTATAACCCTTCACCACAGGCAGCTGCTGGAGACAAGAAGTTTGACCTTTCAACTGTGCTTCTGTGTTGTTTATAAGGGAGAGCAAACAGGGCCTGCATTCTAAATTTCCTTCTAAGGTGATTTCATCTGAGGCCTCAGAAGA